GAGGACCTCAACAGCGTTCTGGACGTCATCCTGTCCATGGGACTGGCCGTTCAGGTTGGGGGGCTCGGTCTTCACCAGCCGCCCCGGGGGCGCAAGGACGAAGCGGCCGTGCAGAGCCGGTCCCGGGGACGCGTCCAACTCCGGGCGCAGCAGCTCGGTTCCTAGGCCTGCCGCGGGGGTGCCGTAGGGCGGTGGGGCGCCCGGCTCCGGATAGTAGAACGCAGGCGGCGGAGGCTGTGGCGGCGGCTCGGGAGGGTTCTCGGCACCCAGACCGTCCAGTCCCATGGACAGGATGAAGTCCAGAACGCTGTTGAGGTCCTCATCGGTGCCACTCGCCTCGGGCTCGTTGCGCGGCCAGCGCTGCGGGAGACAGAACGCGGGACGTGAGCCCGGAGCCGTCTTTTGCTCCCCAGTACCCCAAGGTCTAACTCAACTAACTCCCAGGCGCCTGCGGACTGCACCCGGTGTTCACCCATCCGTTATGTGCGCGCGGGTCCTCAGCTCCTGCGCTTACTTCTCTGTTCTCCCACAGCCTGAGGTCTAACTCCTCACCGCCGGCAGTCTAACTCTCCGCAGCCCAAGGTCTCCCCCGCAGCCCAAGGTCTCCCCCGCAGCCCGCGGGCTGCGCCCTGGCGCTTGCCATCCCCAATCCTCGCCTCTGCGCCCACATCCTGTGGCCTGGTCCTTTGCTGCCCCACCACCCGCGGTCCCCCATCGCCCTCACCTCCTGGAGGCCGCGCTCGCACGGGCTGGCGAAGGTGGCAAAGGACGGCAGGATAGGCTCGCTGAGCGCCATGGCAGAGACTGTGTGTGTCGCGGCCCGGCCCGCCCAGGCCTTATAGGCGCGGCCGGCACGGGGGGGGCGGGCCAGGAGGCGGTGGCGGAAACGCGTCCCGGATGGGGACGAGCTCTGGACTCAGCCTAAATTTAGCCGCGGTATATAAGCCTGGCGGCGGCGGCGGCGGCACCCACTGCGGGAGCCCGGGCTGCTCGCCCCAGACCCCGCCCCCTTGTGTCCAAGGCCCGCCCCCGTCCGTCCCCATGACGACGGCGTCAACACTCCGGGCACAACAGCCAGACTAGCTTGCGGGGGTGGCACCTGGGACTCCGCGGGGAACACGGGCTGAGGAGGCTTCCCCGGTGTCTCCCCAGCCTCAGGCCCTCGGAAACCTAGACCGATGCATGAGAAGTCTGGGGTCACTGTTGATCAGAGAGACGCTCTGTGAAATCCTTATGTGAGCCTGACATGTAAGCTACTCTGGAAGCTAAGGCAGGAGAAAGAAGAGTTTGGGGCCTGTCTGGGCTACCGGGAAAGTTGAAGGGGCGGTCACATAGACTCTCTTGTCTCTCAGACACAAGGAAAAGCATGGCATGGTGACTTACACCTATCCTCTGAACACTTGGGAGATTGAAAGCATTAGGTTTAAACCAGTCCTGACTACAGGAGACTCTGTCTCAAAAAAACAAAAAAGAAAACAAAGCAAAAGAAAACAAACAAACAAAACGTGGAGCAGGCAAGATGGCTCAGTGTTTGCTTCCAAGCCTGACCCTAGGAGTACAGTCCCCAGGAGGAATCTATTCTCACATGTCACCTCTGACCTTCACAATGCACTGTGGCACACATGCCTACACACACACACACACACACACACACACACACACACACACACACACACGTAGTAAAAAATTGCAATGCAATAATTAAAAGTTACAATCAACAGCGGGGCTCCAGTGGTGCACACCTTTAATCCCAGCACTCAGGAGGTAGAGGCAGGAGGATGTCTCTGAGTTTGAGGCCAACTTGGTCTACAAAGAGAGTTCCAGGACAGTCAGGGCTACACAGAGAAATGCTGTCTCAAAAAACAAAACAAAATAAAAGTTTAATAAGTAGATACATACCAAGTATTGGATCTCTGGGACCTTTTTGCCTCCCACATGGACCTCAGATAAACCCTTTAAGTGCAGGGAAACTGAGGCCAGGGTGCTGGGAAGTGCTGTCATCTGGCTGACACAAAGGGCAAAGAGTACTTCCAGTGGGGTATGGGCATGTCAAATAAATATACATAATACTCACAGGGCCCAAACAGAAAAAAGGAAATAGTGGAAGAGGAGGAAGTGTGTGATCGGGCCTGGGGGAGGGAAAATGATGCAAGGTTGACCCACCCAGGAGCAATTCCTGAGGTAAGAGCTGGAAAAAGCAAGGGGGAGCCATCTGGGTAAGGCGGAGCAGTATTTCAAGTCACACCTGAAGCTGGTGCTGAGGGATGCAGTCAGCCTGGGTACCAAGGATCCCAGGGGCAGCCCCTTGCAGCAGGGTTAGGTGGCTGCAGGTTCCATATTGACCCAGCCTCTGCCCCTTACCCACCACTGTGTGACTCTGTGTAGAGGCCTTGCCTCTCTGGGATTTTCCCAACATCTGTGAAATACAGATACATCAGCCCCCAACACTCCTCAGGCCGTTTCCATACAACAGCAGTGTTTACACCAAACACGCACAGTCCCCTGAACTTAACTCTATGGAGGACATGGAATTGCACTGCCGGGGCTGTGTGTGAGGCTGTTAAACTATCAGTTAAGGACCAAATTCCCTGGGACTGAGGGCTCCTCAGCACCTCATCACAGGGGGGGAGAACATCACGTGTTTCTCACACAGAGCAAAAGCGGGCCAGAGCTGTTTATTCCGGATCAGAATGGCCGGGGCAGAAGGTGTCTCAGTTTCCCTTTACCATAAGAAGCAAAAGATGAGATTTGGATCATTTCAGCCAAGGTTTAGGATTCTGGAGGAATTGCTGAGTTTTGTTCGTTTTTATCTGGGGTGTGTGTTTTTCTCACATAGCCCGGGAAGGCAATCTCCCTGCCTCTGCCTGCCTCCAGAGTGCTGAGATCCCAGACTATAGGCCACATTGGCTATTGGATCAGTAGGGGTTGAGTCTGTTCTAAATAGCAGACTTCTTTTCCTTGTCGTTCCTAGCCGATTCAGAGTGACGTGACTTTCAAATCTGTCCTGTCTTAGGTGCAACCCACCCAGCGGTATTTTACAGTCTATGGGAGCCCTGGAGGGGTGGCCCAATATGTACCCACATGGGATCTGTAACCTCCCCTCCAGGCATTCATGGCCTGTTACTAAGGGGTCTGAGTGTCTGGGGACCCTGATATTCAAGGGCACTGGGACGAATTCCCTCCGAGAGCCACAGAACGACTACTAAATAACACAAGGCCCTGTGAGGATACTTGCCTGTCATCCCAGCACTGGAGGGAGGCTTTGGCAATAGGTTCAAAGCCGGACCTGGAGAGATGACTCCAAACAGTAAGGATGCTTAAAACTAAGTCGGACAGCTTGAGGTCAGTCCCCGGGACCTGGAGTCCTGCTCCTGAGGTCCTCGGGCCTCCACACACAATCACACATGAATAAAAAAATACAACTTCTAAAACTATTGAGGGTCTAGGAGCTCTGGCCAGGGCTCCAGGTGGGGCTCCCGGCCTGAGCCACCCTAGCCTGAGGAGTTAGGGAACTTCTCCTTTCCCGCAAGACAGGTGCTGGTTGCCCTCATTTGCAAGGCCCTGGCTGGCCCAGGGAGCTTTTGAAATGCGGATTTCTCTTCTGCATACTTTCTCCTTGTCCAGCTTTGTTCTGCCACGTGCTGGTCTCCTGTGCTCAGGCTCCCCGGCTGGGTCTTTTGAGCAATTTCAAATGGATTGTTTTGTTTGCTTCTGGTTACCTTTGCATCTTTTGTCTTAGTCTATAGCTGTCCTTGATTTTTACATAGATTCCTCTCCTAGTAGGTGGCCTGCCTTCAAATTCTCGTAAGGGCACTCTTTGCAGGGTACATTTTGAATAAAGTGTCTTTTAATTTTATTCATTATTTTTTTATTTATTTAGAGAGAGAGAGGTGTGCACCTCTTTGTGAAGTTGCCTCTCTCCTCTCTCCTACTATGTGGTTTCTGGGATTGAACTTGGTTTGGGTTGGCAGGCTTGGTCGCTAGAGCCTTAACCTCTGTGACCCTCAATGGACCTTGGATTTTATTTGTTTGTTTGTTTGTTTGTTTTGTTTTTTCAAGACTTGGTGTCAGGAGGCTCAGGCTGACCTTGTACTTGCTACACTGACTAGAATCTTGAATTCTTGACTGTCCTGCCTCAGCCTTCCAGTCCTGGGATAACAGAGAAACACCACTATGGTCCTGGCTTCCATTTTAACTTTGGTGGAGTCAACTTTTTGATTTTTCCTTTCCTTGCTTGAGCCTCTGATGTTGTGTCCTGTCGGCCTGTGGTCCCCTCAACTGTCAGGAATCTAATGGGCTTCTGTCTCTTTATGGTGATTTTGGGGCTGGACTGGGCTGGAACCCTGGGCCTCTGGGCCTTCCCCAGAGCCAGGCCTTTGTCTTGGAGTTTGGACCTTTAAGTTTGCAGTTGAAGAATGCACTTTGTGTAACTTTTTTGCCAGTAGGCCCCACTCGTTCCTCTTGACCTGGTTCGCTGGTAGGTCCCCGCACACGTGGGTTTCGAGGTGTCTTTTGACCTCCCTGTGCAGCCGCTGCTCTTTTCTGAATGGGTTTTCTTTTAGTGTGTGTGTGTGTGTGTGTGTGTGTGTGTGTGTGTGTGTGTGTGTG